TATTCAGATAAGAAAAATACGTTTCTCTTTTAAGGATGTTTTTCAAGGCACCTTGCGCCGGTCGTGCTTTGTGAAAATAGGCGCCGATGAGCTTCGATGTTTACGTATCGTTTTCTTTCCGCAAATATTGGTCATTCGTGGGACGTGTCGTAGGAGGCGACGCACGTCGATAGAAGGGAGACAACCGGAAAGATTCCCGCAAGGTTCCATGCTATTAACTATTCCACTGGCTATCTGGGTATTAGAAGACACATTGAACCGTGTTTTTCTTTCTCAGCTTCCTTCTTTTTCCTCTCGATCGCGTGCAGAAACTTGCTGCGCGTATATTGCATCAAAGAGATATTAATCAATTATTGTGTATATTTGAAGCAGGTCTTTTATTTATTTATTTTTTTTTTATTATTTTTAAAATAAACTCAAATATTTGTTAAACTCGCACGAAGAATAAGTAAAACTTAACAGACATGTTTTTGAGAATGACAATTATTAAATTTGTTTGTTTCTTCTATTTAAATATTTGAGATTTCTAAAAATTTCTAAAAACGCGAGTTACATCTCGATCTTTGAAAATAAAATTGATATTTCGTAAAAAGAAAATTCCTCTTCTTCTTCTTCCATAATGTATGTTATCTTCACGTTCGTAACTTCACGGCGAACAATGTCCGCTGCCGACTTCGCGAAGTACTGCAGACAAAGGGTGTTTGTAGCCGTCGAGTGAAGAACAAGAAGACTAGTAGTGACGCGGAAAGAAGCAGAGGCATGGAGAGGCGAGCGGGCATAAGAAAGACGAGAAGAAGGCAATGCATCGCGTTATCCTCGCGGCGCATCGTTTGCACGAATCTGCAGCCAGGTCGACGGTTATTCAGTCGTAAGCCTGCAATTCATGGATGTATATGTGTGCGAGAGATTCATTATTTCAGAAGCCTCACGCAAAGAAAAAGTGGAGAGGGGAAACGACTCGCCTCCCTTTTTTCCCATCCAGATCTTGATGTTCAAATGGACCCCAAAACTTGAAAATGTCTCTTATCTCCGGGATTATTATCAGTGAGTTCTCGGAAGAAAGGTTCGAAATTTCAGACGGAATTTCGATCCGGGATCGCAACAAGATTTACGAGTATTCGATACTCCGAAATTATGTAATCGTTTGAAAACGTTGATACCGAGTACATCTCCAAAAATGTGCGAGTATCTTCTGTCTCTGCATTAGTAACGCAGTAAGATGTTGTCTCATAAATTCCTGAGAGGTTTTGCATATCGTTCTAAGAACGATATAGCACGAACCCCACGTTCCCCATAGTGGTACAAGAACTTTTTTCGAACTTGCGGTGCCCCGCAGGTAGCGGCGCCACTGCTCTCTGAACCGGTATTCTCTTCTGGGCAGTATTTTAGTCGCTCTATGCCCATGGTGTGCCCAGCGCACCTAAGTCCTTTGAAGGGGAGGGGAGTTACCTGCATCAACAGCGGGAGAGCCGCGGTGCGAGATGCCTTGAGGGCACTTTTGCCACTCTACGTGTTCTCGTGCCACGGCTCTCGTGGCTCAACAATGGATCAGCATAAGAGATACACCGCGGACTGGATCCATAAGGATCGCGAGTATAAGCTCTATCTGCCGCTCTTGAAACAAAGCGCCGATCGATACGCTCCTTGATTCGTTTCCCCTGTTTGGTCGCGCCTAAAGAGTCACGATCTTGTGCGGATATTGTAAAGTTGAGAAAAAATGAGATTTAAATATTTATTATATATATATATATATATATATATATATATGTATATAATTTACTATTAAGTATTTATTATATATATATTTTTTTTATTTAACAATTAGAATTTTAATTATAAGTTTGTTTACGTCTAAATTATTTGAAGTTCTAAATAACAGTGTCACTTTTATCTGATTCACGCACGACGTGAAATTCTTCGCGGTTGTAATAGGAATGTGAGGTTCCAGCACTCCTGCGTTGAATGCGCACTTTACTTTGCGAAATAATACCGTGGCCGGTTCATAAATCGCACATCGAAGCGTGAACCGAAGATACGAACCCAAGTCTATTTTATTTGACGTTCGAACGATCGGCGCACAAATATATAATTCTTTTGCCGCAAGAAAACATTTTTTCGAAATCTTCCCGAAGCGATTTTCACAGCAGGGAACACTCAAAAATTCTATTAATTTCAACTTTCGGTTCTTTTCTATACAAAGAAAGACCGACTTTTTCAGTAACTAAAAAAAGACTTCTTCGTTTCGAGCTATCGTTTTCATGTTTTGTTAAGCTTGTTAGCAAGGCAGGTATCTTTTTAAGAAGGTTTAAGCTATAACCTCACAAGGACAGTGGACCTGAAAACAACAGTATTATTATGATGATTTTGACTATTGAGTTCTTATGTAATTATAAACAAATTTATTTGTACATTAATTATGATGTAATTTTCGCGTGTATATTTGCAGTCAAACTTTCAATTTTTTTTATAAGCGAAATCTATTTTTATAACATTCTCTCTCTCTCTCTCTCGCAAATCACGTTATTTAGTAATTTTAGTAAAAAAATACCTACTTTTAATTTTTCAATATCTCGTTTCCATCGCATTGCACCACGCGCGATTCTTGCGACGTAGCACGGAGACGCGCACGAGTGTTTAATCAACCAGGTAAAGCTTCAACAGAAATGCCGCGACATCGTTAAACAGTGAGCAAAGTGATTCCTCGAAAGGGTTTCGTCGTAAAAAGACGTAACGTGTGGAAGAGCGAGAAGGCATCGGTTATAAACGGAAGAATGCGTAATCGCGACGAAGATGGACCGCGTGACAAAATGGAAGATGATAAAATGACTACTTACCGAAATAAGAAGAGACATAATATTTTTATTTGTGTTTTTATAATAAAAATAACAGCATTTTCTTCCTATTTCCTAGTTTAGAAAATAGCTAAGAAACATAGAGATTTTTTACACATGTATAATCTTTTTACTACACTTCTTACAGAGCTACTACACTTCTAAATAAATTCTAACTGTATCTTCTCACCGATTGTAGCGGTAGAGAGCTACTACACTTTGAACCATGGTGCTTAGCTAGTGGGATCATTGGGAAATCTTCTAAAAAAAAAAAATTTACCTTCTTTTGACCACCAAAAATCGTAAAGTCATTGTTCGTAGATTGTTGGCAGAGCCAACGTTTTGGCAAAAAAATGCGGTCGGCAACTATTAAACAGTGTCGTGCGGGGGATATAAACGAGCCACTCAAGGGAACAATGGCAGTGTCTCGTCGGCAAGGCGCCAAGGGTGCAATGCCAACGAGATGGCTGTTCTCTCTCTTGCACCCATAGCATTACAAAGCTATCGAAAGGGTCCACGGTCAGGCACCTGCTGGAAATCAGCATCCCTTACAGTGGATCAAATTGGGATCGGACCTCTGGATTGATCTCTCGCACACAGAGTTAAATTTACACGATTGTGTGTTGCCCGTCGTTCATTATTTACACACAAGAGAGATAATTTTGAAAGATACATTAAAGAGAATATGCATTAAAAATATTTTGTGAGAAGGTTTTCTTCGAGTATCAAATTTTTGCGTTATCTATTTTTATGTTGTTAAAAAATGCGCGTAGTTCAATGATACGAATTCGAAAAAAAACGCACACTCCTGCAAGAAGAAGTTATCCTTAACATTTGTTGAGAATATAATTTTCGACGCGTTTTTGTGTGTAAAAAAAAAACTTTACACGAGGCGTTTGAGAGAATCGATAAATGCATCGCACAGGTTTTGTTCTTTTGTGGAATATCTCGGTGAGAGCGTACTTATGATAAAACAAGCGTGCACATCGTGCAAAGGGCAAACGGTCGTCGTATTCTTCGTGCCGCTGCAATTTTTGAACTGCAGCAACGAGAGAGTTTCTTCCTCGAAGCAACTCCTCGAGAATGGATCCTTCTTGGAAACCGAACACGATGCATTTTCACGCCTGTCTAACGTGGCTTTTACGTAACTCGATTATACAGATTCCTGCCAGTCCGCCTCTCGCGGTATTCGATTAGATACACCGCAGCTATGGTCGCTTGTAACTCACTTCGTTCAGAACTTATTTTTGTCTTAATTATTATTGTTGCTCGCGAACGCTTCAATATTATGTGAAAGCAACGGCAGTTTATTTCAATATTCGCACATTGTGTCCATTTTGTTTTCAAAACTCGATCAAAACGCATTGCTTATTCACGTATATAATTTTTTTTTGTCAAGCAATTATTGATTTCATTATTTCGCTACAATATTGCATTGTGATATGTTTTTAATGAATGAAAAATAATTAATGATACGATTTATCCTATCCTTGATCTGTACAGAACTTCTCCGATTGAACTTAACCTGAAGCCGCTTACCAGCAAATTAAACACTTCTTTCGCGGAAGCCAACATTCGCACCTTCAACCCTCCGTTTCTCTTCTCGTATCTTCTCAGGCAGAACATATGTTTTTTTTTTTTTTTTTTCTGGTCCAGATGCATCGCACGCAACCCCTCAGGTGGATCTACGAGAAGGGTCTTGTGTGCGCGGCATCTCGCACGAATGTATCCTACACCTACTACGGCGAGTCAGAAGCTCCGGCGATGCGCTTCGGTGTGCGTACGTGTGTGTATATATCTGCGCTTTGTACCTGGCTAGAAGAGAGCAAAGTAGGGGAAACCGAGCGTTTCTCTACGAGGTAAGACGAAGAAGCGACGGTGGAGGTGCGAGAAGGACGATGGTGGGAAACTGGACGAAGGCGAAGGTGCGGGGAAGTTAGGTAGTTGTCTTCTGCTCTGCGGCGTTCTAGGGGGACAACGTAGTGGGGGGCAAGGGGACCAAGGAAGCCCCCGACTGCGGCGAAGGTGCTCGGGCCGAGTCGATGATGATGACGACGGCGGTGGTGGGCACTGATGGTGGTAGTGGTGGTACTCTCTAAGGTGGAAAGGGAGAAAGAGAGGACGAGGCGCAGGAGACGCGAAGAGAGAGTCCTGCCCGGCGTGGACCTGTGTGTCGTTGCATGGCCGACCTGGAGACTCGCTCTCCGCAAGGTGAGACGCGCGGACCGAGAAGAGGAGGTCTCGAAGGATCGGCAGGAATTTTCGTGAAAGACCGACTCTTCCTCTTTCGCATGTCCGTGATCGCGCGCGCCTGTGTGCTCTTCTTGCCGTCTGTCTTTCTTCGTTTTTCGGTTTTTTCACTCTCCCTCTTATTTTTTATCTCGCTCTTGTTTTTCCGCGATGACTCTAATTTTTCTTCGCGTGTGAACGAAGGAAATCGAGTGAGTGATCCGTGTTTTCTGTCGCGAGAAAATATTCCTGTGACTCTCGACGTGTAAGAGACCCGCTTGGTCAGTGTCCCAGATTGGTTGGTGGACATTGACAGATATCGTCAATCAGTGAGAAACAAATTGCTCCCGCTTGGACACAGTTTCAATCGCGTGGTGCTTTTATACGCGGGAGATTGCGAAGAGAGACGTGGTGAGACTTTCGAAAAAACAAATCTCAACCGACATCTTCGTGGCAGCGATGTAAGAGCGCAAAATGTGACGCCCGACACGTTCGACAGTGATAAAGTGTGCTCACGCGTGCAGCTTCTCTTATCGAGCGTTCGCGACTGATCTCGGTTTCATCTGCAGCGCGCGTGTTTGTCAGCAAGAGTCCGCTACGCTCATATGAAATCAAAACGCCTGATAACTGCGTTCGCTCGTTTCGAGTTTTGCGAGATCAATTGGACTTGCTGTCAGTAAACTTTTCGAACCGGTACGACTTTCGAGGATAAACACAGTGCATCGCGTTTTCTCAGTGACATTAAGTCGGCCATAAAAATTCGAATAGCTTCGGTGCACGTGAGTGTAAACATATATAAATCACCCAGACTCGAAAGACTCATGACGATAGTAAAATTTAGTTGAAGTTTCTTTTCGAATTTCTGTCAAAACAGTGCAATCTCGCTGTTCGGAGGATTTCGTTCAGGATTTACGTACTTCGCGGAGTCACATGGGAATGTCGTCGCGTTTGAGGTGAGTAAAGGATCAAGTTCACGTGGATTTGCGTGGAACTCCGCGTTGTCACATCTGCCATCTTTGCGCGCCAAATTCGATAAACGTTTCGAGCACGTAAATGTGATGATTTCGGTATGACAACTATCGTGACATCGGTTTACGACACTTGGCGTGAGTTTATCTTGCGCACATATTTACTATAAACGATAAGATTTTTTTTCTGTGAACATGAAAATACATGTATATTTAACTGAAGAGCAACTCTCTCTTATCGGGGATATTTTTATCACGAGTGATTTTATTAGTTCGATTTATCTTTTTTTGCGTTTTTAGAGTTTTCAATTAACGTCGCCACGTGTTTTCCAGGAATGTGAAAAGTCTCGTAAGCGGACTGTACACGCCTATCTTTTTTGCGACTACATCTGTCATCGGACAGTCATTTGTTTTCGAAAGTACACGCAAAATTACTCCGGTTTTTCTCGACAAGTTCGCTCGGCGAAAGTTCCTGAAGAAACTCCAATAAGCGGATAAGCTGCAACCGTCTCTGTTTCAACACATTGACGCTTCTTGCGAGAGATATTTTTGATAGACAACATCGCACACTTTTGCGCATCTCGAGCTCTCTATCTCTAATGACAGTTGCGTTCATTCCTCGAGATGAAGTTACTTTCGCTTGTTCGGATGTGTAAAAATATAAAAAAATAGTTTTTCTAATTTTGTTGACAATATCTTTTACTTCGTATTACACGATATTTGTATATTTCTAGTTAAGTTATCGAAAGAGTACAAATACGTGCTAAGATAAAACTTATTTGTAGACATAAGGAATATATACACGATAAAAAAAGATATTATTATTCCACCTTGTATAATGTGTTTTTTTCACAATCTAAAGATTAGATGACTGATAATATTGATATACAATAATAACTACAATAATAGCACCGAACAGTTTTGTAATGTGATACTCTATACGAAACGCTAAATTATCAAAGTATTACACAACGGAGTTTGCGAAAAATTAAATAAAATTTGTAATTCTCGCGCGCGGATGGAAAATGTACAGATTTTCCTTCAATTGACTGGTTCTTAGTACTCAATTACCGGAGAATTTCTTCTGAGAGAGAGTAATTGAAGCAGTGTTCTTGAGAGCGTAGTCATTCGTAGATACGTAACTCAGATCTCTCTCTCTCTCTCTTCGTCACTTTTGAAAATGAAAGTTCGCGCGGGGCCTGCGAGCACGAGGAGAGGTACGGGTCTGGAATTTCTTCCTCGGGCCTCCCGGGGCCCACTGCGGCCTAACGTTTGCAGGATCGTTAGTATTTGCCGGAGACTTGAACGCCGAGCTAAGAAGCTTGCGTTGGCGGCAGACGCCCGTTTGGAAAACATCGACTAGCGAGCATGTGACATCTGCTGGCGGACTATTAGGTATCTTTCAAGCCTCTAGGTCCTCTTCTCCTTCTCTTTCTCTTCTCCTTTTTCTCTCTCTTGTACGAAAGCAGACTTTTCTTTTTTTTTTCTCTCCTGACGCGCGCTTTCCAGCTGATCGGCATCAAAAGCCGGCTCGTCGCGCTGATTTGAGCAACGCATTTTTCACGGTCTCTCCAACAAATTCTTTAGGTTGTACTTGGGCTGAGAATCATTTGAAAAGTGCGCTGTAGGAGATTAAAATGCACAACAAAGAAAAACGTGTGTACGTTTTTTTTGTTTTTTTTGTTTTTTTTTAAATGTGAAAAGTATGTTTTTTTCGTGAAATATGGCAATCCTGAAATAACAATTTAATTTTTTTCTTAGAAGAAAGTATTCTAAATTGTACCCCCCGTAGATATTGACAGTTACATTTTAAGTGATGGATTAACCAACTTATTCCAGTCGAGCAGAACTGCGACAATTACATTGCGCAACGTTTATTATAACAACTACGTCTTCTAGTTTGTCGCGTATTATGACGGGGAACGTTGTACGCCACTTTTGGGATGTTGTCTTTATGGTTACGTGTGTGTACATATTGACACGCTGGTTTAAGAGCCCAGCCAAAACCCGCTTGGCGTTCCTACGCGCGCGCGACTCACTCAAAAAATGTATTCCAACTCGCAGTAGAGAAACTCGCGCCTTCTTTAAAACAGAGAGTAGCATAAATTCCTGTGAGAGAGCTGGCTGCCTGTTTTGGAAGTATAAAAAGGGGCGCTGTGAATGTCATTGGAATAGCATCAAAATCTCATTAAAATAAAATCGAAAATCACGCAAGAGATTAGTACAAACATGATTTTCGTTTCAGAAAAAGAAACGAGATTATGTCACAATCTTAACGTCGAAATTAATCCTCCTTGAAAATTGTTGAAATAACACGACGGGATACAAAGTACGTTTTTTGATTGCTATAAGAAAAAAAATACCATCACGATGTCACGATCGCAATTACAACATGAACTTATTAAATTGTTCGTGACGTTTTCTTTTAAAGAACACACAGACTTGTTGATCAGATCGATGACGCAGGTGCATAAATAACTTACGTAAGATCTTCGCACGCTCTTCTGCTTCTGATGATGCTCTATCATTCTTATTTATCGTTTTACGGTTGCAAGGTGATGATTATCGACAGCAACAAAAGAGGTTTTCGCAGACTTTACGAATGAGAACAATTTGCGGCGATGATAAATAACACAGCGCGTAAACAACTTCCAACCATACCGAGCTCCGCGCAATTTGTCACCACGACCCGTATCGAACAAATATCAACCGTAAGCGCAAAATACTACCGCGTGCACACGAACGCCCAATTCACTTTAAATATCGCGTTTTACATCTCAATGACACGTGACACGCTCTGTAATGAGCGCCCTCGGGCGACGCGATAAAAAATTTCGCAATTGATTTTATGCGCCGATCAATTGAAGAATTTGAATCGCGATCGAGTGAAGAAAAGCTGCGGCTGATACTTATCAGCGTAACACAAAGTGCAACGCGATTTCATTAACATTCGGTGTAAGATTGATTATTTTTAACTCAATAAATTTCGAAAGTCATGCAAACTTGTCGGATACGAGAAAAATTTGATCATGATAGTTTTGTATTGCTCTCTCGTAGCGATACAATACGTTTGGACAAAGTCGAGAGCGTGGCTTTTGGAGCATCCCTGAATGGCCTTGCGAATGCGCGACCGTGAATTCTTCCTCATGAGGAGCTCTTTAAGGGCAGACCCTTATAACCCATCTTAGTTAGAGGGTATTGACGCCGGACCCGTGTTTTTTCTGAACTGCCCACCTGCTCCGATGCAGCTCCGAGGAAAAAAAAATAATACACGAAATGTGTGCTGACGTTTACAACACACAAGCGAATACAATGCACGCGCACTCGATATAAAGCTAGGAATTCCCTGTCACACAAAAGTTTTTGATTTTATATTACATTGTACGTCATCGCAGAGCTGCGACTTTTTAAATTTATCGACTTGTTTCTATTATTGATAAGAATTTCTGTGTAATTATACCATAATGTGGTTTTTTAAACACTATATCATATCAAGTTTTATATTTACCGACTAGTGACACACACACAAAAACTTTGCCCGCGTTTGCTTCAAAAACAAGTAGATTTCACGAATGACGTAACAAGGATTTTTGTAGCTATTGCATTATTACACGGTCGCATAGAAAGCGTAAGCAGTGAAGTGTACGATAAGTAAGTCAAACACACACATACGGTCACCAAACCTTTTATTTCAAACAACAAAAGTCAAAAAGCAGTTTTTTCAATTAACATTAATTAACCCCTTGCCTCGCGATTTAATTTGTGATCGCGCGTAGTCGTCGACAAAGTCGTTTGGGACCGACAGCAATCTGGTCATACACGCTCGATCTTCCTTTGCTCGATCGCGTGCTAAAGCTAACGGGGTACCGTAATAAGAAGCTACATTAATTTTTTTTATAAAACACAAATTGTGATTAAGAAACTGAGAATAGCTTCGTATCACAAAGTCTCGATATTATGAAGCAAGGTGTTAAACGTGATTTTATGCTTGCAAAATAGCGCGTTGCAACATACCGCGAACGATTGCTATCCTAAAAACGTCGTCGATAATTTCTCGGCTTGACGAAGAAGCGCAGATTCATGTTCGCAGGTGTTACTAATAACGCAATTAGTCGCGGTGATTGTTTATTTTTTTCTTTTTTTTTTTAATATGAGCCATTTATAAATGTCGCGTATCTCTGCGCTTCGCGCTGTGTTCCGCGGAAGGTAGCAAAGAAAACGCTCGTTCGTGAAAGGCGCAGTGTTGGCCAATATATCGATAATCATCTGCCTGTAATAGATGGCTCGTCCCGGCTTAGATAGTGCCCGCGCAAGACGTTGAACTATTCAGCCGCTATACAGAGCCGCAGCATCCAACAAAGAGGGGAAGAGTAAGAGCGCTGTGATTCACATACATAACCACTTCGCTTGCGCGAGGTAAAATCTCGAGAAACGCTCGATGCCTCGACGGTAATTACAATCCCGATGCGATGCCTCCGGTATGCGCTGCTGTACGGAACGGCACATACATACCGGCTTCTCTTCAAGGACGTGAAATGAAAACGCCATTCGAGCTATTTTTATCAGCGGATTTAGTGAATTCTCTGTGACTCTTCGATTGTTCGACTACAGATCAATTTCGAAGAGAGAAAGAGAGCGGTGGTAATTGGCGCGAGAGATTCTGCAACGGAGTTCTTTTATCTCCCGTCGCGTAATATCGTCGAATAACAAGAGCTACATCGTTAAAAAAAAAAAATAGTCCATTTTACTCGAATGACTTTTTACATCAGGCAACGGTATTAGTACCGATAGGAGTCAATTTTACCGCGGATTGCGAAATGTTTCTTTTTTAAAGAGTGTGTTGAACCCCACTAATACTCGCTATTAGTATTACTAATGTAACGCTCATTGCGCCGGAACCGTATAATTTAGCGGAGCGCGAATTCGCTACAATTGCATAATATAAACCGTAATCAGCGCGATAAGCACACGTCTCTGTCCTTTTT